GCATTTGACAACAATCTGAGAGCAGCTCAACATCAGAGAGTTTACTCTTCCAGAGGAAACCACTAAGAAAGAAAAAAGGTATGGAAACACTGATAAAAGTTGGGCCTAAGTACCAAAAATCTGTCTGATGTCTATTCTCTGGAAGATACTATTGATGCAAAACTAGAAGAGACAAAAACAGGGCTAAGCTGTCATTGCAGAGTAGTCTACTGTCTGACCCTAAGCTTCTCATAGTTTGAATGTTCTGCATGTTTTTTCAACCCTGCACACCTGGCAGGTACGTACTGTAGAATCAAACAAGTTCTCCAGACTTTAAAGCTCAGGACAAATAATTTATGTATGTATGTATATATATATATATATATGTATATATCCTGAACAAGAAAGATTTCTTGAAGTTAGATTTGCACAACATGAAAGCTTACTAAGGAATACTCCTACTCCTAAACGCGCAGTCTTCTTGTATTGCCATTTAGATCTATCATTCTGATTGATCACTGTGTAGTTGGCTGTTATTGGGCCTAATTTAACCCTATACACTCACACATCCATCTACTCTGTCTATTGTACCTGACATTCTACAAATTACTTACTCATGCAAATGACGACCTAAAGCAACCTTTTAGGATATTCGTGTTTAATTATACAAATGGTCCTTGATAAATAAGATTATACATCCTTCCATATGTTTATTCCCTCCTTGATGAAAGGAAAATTTAATTTTCATGCAGATGTGGTGGGGACAGTGTTTAAGAATTGCTGAGTTTTATGTAGTCTGCAGGTCCATTCAGGTTGCAAAAACTGACAAAATCACTCTGCACTCCACGCAGAGACGAGGAGCTTTTCATTAGGCTTTAATCAGCCTGCTGCACTCTGAAATTAGGGCTCCTAATCGGCCCTCTTTGTATTCACATGGCCAAAGGCAAAAAAGAGGAAGGACCTGCTCTCCTCTGTGATTACAAAGTTGCAAGATCCAAGTTTATCTCACTCTGTTGTGTTTGGTTGCTTTGGGTTACCAACTTCTCTTTCAGCCTGAAGTTACCTTGCTTTTGAGTGGTCTTATCAATTTCTCTTTGGAGGTCTGGGCAGTGAATTCAGCAGGAAAAGCCCCCAGTCCCTGGACATGGTGTAAGACTGGGCCTGCCCCCCCAGAAGGTCTCAGGGCCCCCACGTTTCATGAAGTCTCTTCCACCCAAGCGGTGGTCAACATCAGCGCCCCTGGGAAGCCCAACGGAATCATCAGTCTCTACAGACTGTTCTCCAACACTAGTGGATCAGAGACAGTGGTGAGTAGCAGAGCACTCTGAACAAAAACCCAGGACTGGTTAATTCTGCAAAAATAGACCATGGTGCCCTGGCCTTTTCTACTTGAGACTTCTTTCTTCCCCATCTGTTCTCCATTACCCGTGATGAACTCAGCACAAAGATCCATTGGAGAGAAATGGTGAGTGTTAGGAAGCATACAGCAGCTATGTAAGTATTCAGGGACAGAAGTGCTAACGGTGTTAAAGACTCCACAAATCTAAGAAACCTAGGACTATAGTGACAATTAATTTAATTTAATTGGAAAATGCATGTCAAGTATTGATCTACAGTAATGGGTCAACATATGGCCATTGTTGGTGGTGTAAATGTTAATATGAGAAAGAAAAAAATAGAGCAAAGACTATCCTTGGAATCCTCATTCTGTCATGAGCAGATCTCTAAAAACACACTGAAAACTCCGTCTTTCTTTTTTGGTGACTTCAAGAAAGTTCCAGCGCTTTAGAAGAGAGCAGAACAGCTTAGCCAACACAACTCGCGCTCTGCTGTTTGTGTATTGGCACATTTGGGGTACGTGAGGGAGACACACCGGACAGTTTAGAGAAATCATCTTTCACACTGTGTTTTAACGAAGCTGCTGGCTGAAGAGACCCTAATAATGAACTAGACCAGTTCCTACATTATTTATACAAAGAGCCTGACAGCCAGAGGGAGGAAGCATCTTCTCTGTGTATAACACAGAGAAGGACCGTAACACTCTCATGTTTCTCGTACATGTAGATTATAACTTTGTTCACACACACAAAACAACTTCATGGACAAGTTGTGGAGATCCTACTATGACATTATAAATTATTTAGAACAATTTGGGGAACAGTTGGGGTCAGTGTGGAGAAATCCAGGTATTGAAACACAATTTCAGAAGACAACTTGCAAGGAAGGAAGTCTCGTATTGAATGTTAAAAGAATATTAGCATATTTTCTACAGGGCTTCGTATTCAATAAATATAGATGATGTAAATACAATCAACCCTTGATTATCCATGGTTATAAAATGATAATATTAATAAACTAAAATAATTTATATTTAGAGTGCATTGTATGCATTTTTTAAATAACAGATAACTCTTCTTAATTACATGTTGCTTATGTGAATGTAAAAATTCGTATTCCAGTTTCTGAACTCTTTTGTTCCAAAGAGTTCTTAATAAAACCACAATGAGATAAAAAAAAAAAAAAAAAAACATGTTCCAAGTAAACCAGAAAGTTTATAACACAATAAAGATAGTTGAGAAAAGGAATGTATTTCATATATACCAACACCATTGGGGAAAAGAATGACTTTCAAGCTCTAGCATATACATAAAATATAAAAAACATAACATACACAAATACATAAAATATATTTCAAGTCCTTAAATATTCACTCTAACATGGATCTGAGGGAAATTTCGGCCCCCAAAACACATACAGATAACAATGACAAAGTATGGACCTTCGTGAATATTGACTACAACTATAATTGAAATGCAGATTTTGTTTTTTGAAAAGGCATTATTCTCACGGTCACAGAATTTGATCAGTATTTTGTGACTTTCTGTTGGTGGGAATGCAAGCTGGTGCAGCCATTCTAGAAAACGGTATGGAGGTTCCTTAAAAAATTAAAAATGGAACTACACTATGACCCAGCAATTGCACTACTAGGTATTTACCCAAACGACACCAAAATACAAAGGGATACATGCATCTGATATTTATAGCAGCATTATCTAGAATAGCTAAATTATGGAAATAGCTCAAGTTCCATTGACTGATGAATGGACAAAGAACACATTGTGTATATATATATACTATGCAGTTGGTTCAGCCTTAAAAAAGAATGAAATCTTGCCATTGGTGATGACATGGCTGGACCTAGAGAGTATTATGCTAAGTGGAATAAGTCAGAGAAAGACAAATACCATATGACTTCACTCATATGTGGAATTTAAAGATTTTATTTATTTATTTGTCAAAGAGAGTGAGAGAGCGCACACAAGCAGGGGGAGTGGTAGGTAGAGGGAGAAGCAGGCTCCGTGCTGAGCAGGGAGCCCAATGTAGGATTCGATCCCAGACCCTGGGATCATGACCTGAGCTGAAGGCAGACGGTTCACCAACTGAGCCACCCAGGTGCCCCTCTTTGTGGAATTTAAGAAACAAAAATGATCATAAAAGAAAGGAGGAGAGAGGGAGACCAAGAAAGAGCTTCTTAGTTATAGAGGACAAACTCCCAGAGGGGAGGTGCGGGGGGATACATGAAATAGGTGATGGGGACTAAGGAGTGTGCATCCTATGGTGAGCATAGGGCGTGGTATGGAGGTGACCCACTAAATCCTACGCCTGAAACTAATGCTACACTCTATGTTAACTGGAATTTAAATAAAAATCTGAAATAGATATTTTGTGGGGTGCCTGGGTGGTGCAGTCGGTGGCACTTCTGACTTGGTCTTGTCTTAGCTCATGATGATGGGGTACTGAGATCGAGCCCCACGGAGAGCTCTGTGCTCAGTGTGGAGTCTGCCTGGGATTCTCTCTCCCTCTCCCTCTGTCCCTCCTGCGGTGCACTCTCTCTCTCTCCGTCTCTCTCAATAAATAAATAAATCTTTATATATTGTTTATTTTTATAATTTTTATAATTGTATTTCATATATTTTATATATATATATATTTTGTATGTTTTGTGTCATATTCTATCATCTTTCTATAGGAATAAACACTACTATGCCTTGCGATTTCTATCCTGTTAGGTCTAACTTCTATTATGTCATCACATGTTTTGCGTGATTAAGTTAGGCCTTTCCAAGCAGCCTGGCAATTCCGATGGCCAGTGCGATGCTAATGGCTCCGGGGCCTCTCCCAGGGCACAGAGCATGGCCCTCCCTTGGTAGGAGCTGAGACGCCTGATCCGCAGGTGTCCGTCGTTGGTGACCGCGGCCGGCCTCACGGAGTGTCCCCATCTCCCCACAGCTGTCGGAAGGCGCGGCGGCCCAGCAGACCCTTCGCGGCCTACAGCCCTTCAGCACGTACTGGGTGGGCGTGGAGGCCTGCACCTGCCTCGACTGCTGCAGCAAAGGGCCAACCGCCGAGTTGAAAACTCAGCCTGCTCCGCCCGCGGGACTGTCCGCTCCGCAGATCCAGGCGCTGTCCTCGAGGACAGCTTCGTTCCAGTGGAGCCCGCCCCTGAGCCCCAACGGCGTCATCCAAGGGTAAGGGACCAGACGGGAGGCCGGACCGGCCGCAGTGAGGCCCGTGCACACGGAGCTGCCCCATGCGGCCAAGCAGGCCTTGCTTGTTGAGCAAACACTACAGCAAAACAGACGAGTCAATGGATTTGAGCGTAATGTTCCCTGCCAAGTGTTTAAATCACAAAACCAACTAGTTAGAAAGGCAAACGACCAAATTGTTTTTAAGAAAGATGATGCGGTGCGTTTGCATTCAGTGAAGGAGGCTCCTCCTCGTGGTTCCCTGGAATTACGCCCTGCGTAGGCCTCAGCTGGAACATAGGAAATGGCTGTGGTTAAATCAGAATTTCCTTGATCCAATTTAAGATGTCATGAACGGGGGCGCCTGGGTGGCTCCGTGGGTTAAGCCTCTGCCTTCAGGTCAGGTCATGATCCCGGGGTCCTGGGATCGAGCCCCACATCTGGCTCTCTGTTTCAGCGGGGAGCCTGCTTCCCCCCCCTCTCTGCCTGCCCCTCTGCCTGCTTGTGATCTATCTCTCTGTCAAATAAATAAATAAAATCTTAAAATGTCATGAGCCACCGTTTGGAAAAACAAGGTATTTCACTCAAAATCATCTGGACAAAAAGATATTGTTTTGTTTTACTTGGTTGGTTGGTTTTCATTTATTTGTTAAAAAAAAAAAGACATTCTCTATTGTCAGCAGAGGAGAACAGTGTTACCACTCTTCTCTGAAAAGAGAGACCTGTCTTCTGTCTACCAACGAGGATTGCTGGCCGCGGGCGGGACCGCCCCGGTGAGCACGTGCGAGTCCGCCGGCTACACCTGCGGCCGGTTTACGCAGAGGGTTGCAGAGACCAGCTTCCCGCAGGTGGGACTCAGAAAGAGCTGGTGGTTCTGTGAACACAAAATGTGTCCTCACAAAACATACCCCGTTTTCAAAGAAAGTGACACTAACCTTACGCCTGCCTTCTCCTTCTAGCTACGAGCTTCAGCTCTACCAGCCTTGCCCTCCGGATTTAGCCCTGCCGTGTACCCCCGGCCAAGCAGAGACCAAGTACACGGGGCTGGAGCCCACGGCCCGCCTGGAGGGCCTCCAGCCCTACACCACCTACAGCCTGCGGGTGGTGGCCCACAACGAGGTGGGCAGTGTGGCTTCAGACTGGATCCGCTTCATCACCCAAAGGGAATGTGAGTAGAAGTGTTGCCACCATCAGCCAGAGAGGTTGGGGGCAGCCGGGAGACACTCATTGTTGTTGTTTTAAAGATTTTAATTATTTATTTGACAGACAGAAAGGGAGAGCATGTTGGCAAGCAGGGGGAGCTGCAGGCAGAGGGAGAGAGAGAACAGGCTCCCTGCTGAGCGGCTCCCAGGACCTGAGACCGCAGGCACTTAACCCACTGAGCCACCCCCATGCCCCTGAGATTTTTTTTTTTTTTTAGTTATCCACTCCTTTTCTTTTCAAATTACATGGCATAGAAGAATCCAGAAAGCATTTCTAGAAAGCAATGAGATATGGCACTGTCAAGAAAAGCAGAACAATTAACTAATAAATTGGGGTCTCCTTACATTTTTATAAAATAACTTCTTTTCAGAATTTATAAGGTATATGTGTCTATTGTTTAAAAATGACAGATACAAAAATAGGGTACGTAGTATCTTGATCAGAAGAACATGTGACTCCTGATCTTGGCGTCATGAGTTTGAGCCCTATGTTAGGTGTAGAGATGACTTCAATAAATAAACTTCAAAAAAAATAACAAATACAAAAGTACTAAGAATAAAATTAGTAGGGGCGCCTGGGTGGGTCAGCTGTTAAGCGTCTGCCTTCAGCTCAGATCATGATCCCAGGGTCCTGGCGGGCTCCTTGCTCAGCGGGAAGTCTGCTTCTTCCTCTCCCACTCCCCCTCCTTGTATTCTTTCCCTCACTCTCTCTCTGTCAAATAAATAAATAAAATATTTTTTAAAAGAATAAGATTAGTACTTACAGTCAGAACCAGTTACATCATATGCAGGGCTCAGTAGAGAGTAAAGTTATGGGGCCCCTTATTCAAAAATCACTAAGACTTTCAAGACCATGACAACAGAGCGTAAGAGCATTTCGTGACTCTTATGTGAGAGGCCCAAGCAGCTGTGCAGTTCCCATACCCGTAAAGCCAGTCCTGCTTATAATCCCACCACCCAGAGGCAACCACATTAGTATTTTGGCATAATTGATTCCTTTAGTCTTTTTCTCATGCAACTTCTATTATGTGGCTGAGATCATACTCTAATGGAAATTTCATAGTCTGATTTTTATACGTGACATTATTTTATTTGCATTTCCCATGACATTAAAAAAGCTTTAGCCACCAAGTTGAATGGCTATATAATTTTCCATCCTATAGAATTGGTTGGACATTTTAGTTGTTCTAATATTTTCCTTTATAAGTGTGGTGAGAAATTTCTTTGTGAACCCATCTTTGAACGTCTGACCATCTTCAAATTCAATTTCAATGAGTGGAATTTACTGTATCAAATATTTTAATATTTTAAGGCTTTGGATACTTATCACAAATAGGCTTTCCAGCCATATTGTATCAAATTATAATCTCATCTTCAGGGTCTGGCATTGGCATTTCTTAAAAGTAAGAGTTACACATTCACAATAGTCCACTGCCTCATACAAAGACCTTAATGTGACTAGGCGACATGGCAGGACGTTAGCAACACGTCATTCAGAGAGTCTCGGTCCCGGCACTGTTCAGGGAATTTACAAATAACCCTCAGCACAAGCCGATGAAGTCAATGCTGTTATCCAAATATACAAAAAAGAAAGCTGAAGCAGGACCGCGGACCATACACGACAATTCCAAGATGCCGTTCACGTGGCCCAGAATCTGATCAGAGGCTCTGGAAGCTGCACCATGAAGTGATCCCAAACCAAGGCCAGAGCTGAAGTGGCCTGCCCATTGCCACCCTAGAAAATGGAACTGTTACTCTAACTTCACGACCCCCCCGCTCAGCAGCACCCTCAGTTCCACTGTGTTTCCCTGGTCTGTCGGAAAGATTTCAGACCTCCTCTCCCCTCCTCAAGCCTCCCACATCTTCCCGCCCTTTGCCCGCCCCCCCACCCCAACCCCCGCTATCCTCGACCACCTCTCCTATATTCTCTGCAGAACTCCTTGCCTCCAAATTCACCAGGAAAAGACAGGTCACCAGTCAGAAGTCTGCTCCTTTCACACCCCAGACCACCACACTCCCCTAAATTGGTTTCATTTCTGTCTGCAACGAGGACAGTGGTCCTTCCACCTGAAAAAATCCCACCTCAGCTTCAAATACAGCCCCTTCGCCGCTGACCGTCCTCCTCTGCAACCTTCGGTGTATCCCAGCTGGAGTCACAGCTGTTTCTCTCCCTCACATCCTCCCTGCTGCCCGCCGTACTCCTCCCTTCACAGCCAAACTTGTCTCAAGAGTGCTCTTCCTGTCTTTGCCCATTATCTTTCCTCCCATTTCCCCCTTTAACCTCCTCCAGACTGATTTTCACCTCATCACTGCATGAAATTCTCGTCTTCAGTTTGCCCTTGACCCCCAGAGTGACAATCGGGGGGACATCTTTCACCGTCATGGACTTCTTGGGAACACTCAAGGCAGTGGGAACCTCAATCCTTTTTAAAAAGTATGACCTTCACGGTTGGCAGGTCTGGGTTCAGATCCTGGGTCTCCTACCACTAACTGACATTAAGCAAGTTACTTGGCTCCTCAGAACCTGAAAAATTAGCAACTAATTCTTACCAGATGGTTTTGAAGATTAAATGAGATAAAACACATCAGGTGCAAAGGGCATAGTGGCTTTTCCCGTTTTCTCAGTCTCCAAATCCATTATTTTTGACAATTTTGGTTAATTACTCTTTCCTCTGGAAGATCTCTGTGTCCTGCAAGGCAATTAAAGCTCCTATCTTTCTATTTTCATACTATTTTGCAAGCCTCCTCTTTATTTATACTCTTACAAAGGAAATCTACTGAATTAAGTGACAGAAAGAAGCCACAAATACAACAGTACATTCTACTGTGATGTTGGACAAACTTTGTGTTGGAAAAACAGATATTTAAAGAGGGTTTTGTAGCTCTGATTTTTGTATTTGCAGAAATATTTTTTATGGCTTTATAAAAATATCTTATTTTGAAAGGTAAGAATCAAAGTTGTCTTGTGGTTTAAACCCCAGGAGGACCAAAGTATAATTATTCCTTATTTTGTTATATTTCCTAGCATCAGCAACAGATGGGTCTAATTTCTAAAGAAAAAAAAAAGGATATCTAATTTATTTACACCACTCCCTTTTTTTCTTTTCTTAAAAGTCAATTTAGTATATAGATGGATCTTAGTGCTGTTACAAATGTATTGATTATTTTGGAGAAAACAAAATCTCATGAAATAAATCTCTTCTGACTTGACAAGATGATATGGTAACCCTTCATTTGTTTCTGCAAAAATTATTCATTTAAAAGATGAGACTCGGTTACGGATTGTTTTTCCTTTGTTTTAGTAAGGAGCTGAAAAATGGAAAGAGAACATGTACACCAAGTCGCTTCTGTCTCTGATATAATACTTAGGAGACCTGAACTTGATGATATACTAATGTACTATGCTATTGATTGATTAGTCAGGGCAATGAATTATTATAGTAGAATTGCTATTTGCAAGGCTTTTTAACTATCTTAGAAAACAAACTAACGATTCAAGAAAAAGCTTTAAAAATAAATGGGTACCAAAAGGACATAATTCACCATCTAAGCAGTTTCGTTTGGAGAAAAAAAAAAATATATTAACTTCATCTAGTCCTTGGGGCTTTGTAGCAATAAATATTGATTCGATATGAAAAATAGCAATCTGCTGTAGTTAATAGTGTTAAGGATACTTTACCCGTTAAAAGAGGGAAAATGCAACAAAATATGAGCTCCAGGGCTATGTTGGTAAGCACAACCATTGTATGTTAATAGTTTCATTTCATAAAACACTGCTCTCCATCGATTTTTTTTTTGTTTTCTGGAAAGCAGGTGCAACGTTGCTGAGAAAGCATTTCACACATGTTCGCATTGGTGAACCCCCCCATGCCAGGTTTTTAAAAAATAAATAAATAAAACACTGAGAAAAATATGAAGGGTTCCAGTAATCTGATTTAGGGGTGAGGGGGGGCCATATTAAAAAAAAAAAAAAGACCTATATATACACACATGTACTCCGAGGTAACCATTTTTAGAACATACAACTTTCTCCCCACAGTGCCCCAGTACCGAGCCCCGTTTTCGGTGCAGAGCAATTTGTCTCTGGTGCGTGTGGACTGGAGCGGCTCTTTCTCGCTGAACGGCCCGCTGAAGGAGTTCGTGGTGACCGACAGAGGCCAGCGTGTGTATAGCGGGCTCGACACCACCCTCTATCTACCCAGGACGGCGGACAAAAGTTAGTTTCTGACTCCCGTTCCACAGTGTGTCAGGACCTCCGGGTCCCCGCTTGACGGTCCTTCTGGAAGGTGACCAGAGAAGGGGAAGGGACAGAGGGAGAAGCAGACTCACTGCCGAGCAGGGAGCCCCATGTGGAACTCGATCCTGTGACTCCAGGATCATGACCTGAGCCAAAACAGTCACTTAACCAACTGAGTCACCCAGGCGCCCCGACACCTGTACCTTTTGGAAAGAACAGGTTTAGACCATGTACAGAACAACAAGATACACCGTGTATTATCCTTTACTCTTCTGATTCTTCTTTTGGGGTTTTTTGTTGTTGTTTTGTTTTGCTGTATAAGCTCTAAGCTTCTTCAGTTCTGTTATTTATAAATATATACTATTATTACACTGATGATAAGCTATTTTTCTTGGAATTTTAATATTAGAAATAAGTTTGCCTATTAGATACAACCTCACAACTTGTGCTGGAAAACTGTTTTCAGACTTTCCTGTGCTATGAGACGCTGCCCTTTGTAGGTATTGAATGACCGAGGCATGTACCTTTTCTCCAGCCTTCTTTTTCCAGGTCATCTGCACCACAGATGAAGGAAGCATTAAAACGCCTGTGGTCCAATACGATACCTCTACCGGACTTGGTAAATGTTTAACTCCTATTATATTTAGTATAGAGCGTATTCATTTTCTCAAGAAACAAGCATATGTTCGTTTCTACATACTTGTGCTAATATATTAGCATAGACTATATGGAAGGAACTGTGTTAAGTATTATAAGAAATATTTTTAAAGGTTCTCATGGAAATTACATCAGGCAAGGAGTTAGGACATGTGGTACTCTTAAAATATCAAGTCATTGAATTATATACACAGAGAGATATAACTAAATTCTCTTCTATACACAAATCCTGTCGGTTAAGAGCTAAACGACTGTGTTTACCAAAAAAGTGCTTTATAGAGGAAGTCAGAGAAAAGAGAGCAGAGGAAGAGAGAAAATACTCTAATGCCAGTATGTGTTGATCATAGAGATAATATTGCAGATTCAGAGCCTAAAATGGTGAATTGGAGAGATTTCTCTCTTGTATTCTCTGTAAAAGATTATGATTGATTGTTATTACCAAGTAATTTAGCTGAAGAGATGAAATTGTAATTTTTATGGAGCATCTTTTAAATTGAGTTCTACCTACAATCTTTGAATCTAACATGTGTAATACTTTACAGTTTCAAAGGGCGAGTTAGAGAAATGCCAGATCTTTTCCATTAGAACAGAACTGGGACTGATACCTTATTTTAAATTCCTGTAACTAATGTCATATCAAATTTGTACGCATGTATAGTTAGGATTTTTTAATACAAATGTCCAACAATTCTGAAACATAGGTAAACATATATATTGTTATCAAGGATAATTTCAATCACTAAATATATATATATATATATATATATATATATATATATAATTCTATGATTCCAGACTTAACATGTCTGGATGCCATGTACAATTTTGTACAATACCTAACACAATTCCACATAGTCTATCTCATTTCGTTTCATAGCTGTTGTGGATTAGGGTAGACTTTATTTGGTTTTCGGGTTTTGGGTTTTTTTAGAGAGGATGAGAGGCAGGGGCAGGGGGAAAGAGAAAATCTTACACAGGCTCCATATTCATCTCGGGGCTTGATCTCATGATCTCAGGACTCTAAGATCATGAACTGAAATCTAAATCAAGAGTCAGATGTTTAACCTACTGAGCCACCCAGGGCCTCTATTTGGTATTCTTTTAGCAACTCCAGTGTTTCCACAAGTGGAGTAGACCGATGGAGGCCTAAGGGACACCAGAACTTACCCAAGAATGCCCACAAGCTCATTGCTAAGATGAGAATTGGAACATGGTTTCTCTGCTGACCCCTGGTCCCGTCCTTTTTCTTGAGCAGCTGTTCTCAAATTTAAGTGTGCCTAAGAGTCATCTCCATGTGCTTGTGTATTTATTACATGGTTTCCCAGGCCCCTGGCAGAGATCCAGAGTCAGTAGGGCCCAAGAATCTGATCTTTCAACAAGCCCTGCCCATAGCATTGTGTGTCAACTATAATCAGATTTTAAAAATCAAAAAGCAAACAAAATAAACAAGCCCACCCAATGATTCCGATACAGAGGACCCGGATGAAGAGTTGAGCAAAACCCCATAACCTAGATTGAGCCCCCTCGGAATCCAGCCCATCCAGTCTCCGAGGTCGGGGGCGAGTATGCCTTCCCTGGGGCGGATAGTCCCCGGGCAGGGACCTCCTCTGACACCACTGGGGTTTTTCTTTGAAGTCGAGTCAGCCACTGCAGTTCCTACCCTGACCCTGAAGCTCCCATGTGATGGGTGGCGTCCCTTGAAATCAAAGGGACTTTGAAAAGAAAACTTAGAAGGGATAAAAACACACCATCCTGATTTTTTAAAAATTTTTTTAAATTTTTTACTTTGTTTTTACTTTGTTTTTAAATTTTTAACATATACACCATCCCGATTTTAAGCTCTCCCTAAAAGAGCAGAAGCCTGTATTCGGTTCTTAAATACAAGCAGAGGTTTCCATGGGTGAGAGAAGGAACACCGAGGACAGTGAGAAGTTATGAAAAAAATTCCAAGATGTATTGTCCAACTAATACCCATAGCCAGCCTTAATTTTGTGATGTAACTTTTAAAATGTTCCTGTTCCCTTCCCTGAGGCAGCCTTGAAGCGCCAAAGTCTGGCCATCCTCATTTCCCTCCTCCTGTTCTGAGGGCTGTTTGCTTTCTGCGGCTTCCCTCAGGCAGGCTGCCCTACATTCCCTGTGTCCTCCCAAGCAAGGGGCCCACTGGGCCCATCAGATCTGTTTCTGGCGTTCCAGCCCCGTGCCACACAGAGGAAATTCAGCTCTTCCCGCAGACAACCAAGGTTGTTGGTTTTTGTTTTGTTTTAAATTCAAACAACAGGGGCGCCTGGGTGGCTCAGTGGGTTAAAGCCTCTGCCTTCGGCTCAGGTCATGATCCCGGGGTCCTGGGATCGAGCCCCGCATCGGGCTCTCTGCTCCGCGGGGAGCCTGCTTCCTCCTCTCTCTCTGCCTGCCTCTCTGCCTACTTGTGATCTCTGTCTGTCAAATAAATAAATAAAATCTTTAAAAAAAAAAAATAAATTCAAACAACACACATTGATTCCTAATTAGGGGAATTCCTATCTGCTGGAACTTGGCAGAGCTTCGACTCTTTACTTCTGAAATGGAGCGGAGCGACTTCTGTAAGCACAGAGCTATGGGAAGTCCGGTTAGGATTAGCCAGGTCGTGCAGCTCCTCTTAGGAAGCTCGAAATGCAATCTCGGTCACCTTTTCTCTCTCTCTCTTAAACCTCCTCACCCCGATTCTGAAGCCCTCCCCTTCCCTTCCACTGAAAGTGTGGGTGTCAGGTGTCTAACAGCCGCCCCCACCGCCCCGTCCTTGAGGAGCTGCAAAGGGGGAGTCAGTGCCAATAGCGGGGAGGCCCTGGCCACTGCGTCTGTTCGCCCTTCCTGCTCTGGGCCACAGGCACCTGCGCTGGAGCAGCAGCTCTGGCTTCCAGCCCCCCGCGCCAAGCCTGCAGGCCTGCTGCTGCGTGCATGGGCTTCTGAGCTCGCCTGTGACCCCAGTCAAGGGTTTGCTCCTTGGGGTACATCAAACTAAGCACATTCAGAGGAAGTGTTCAAAGCAAAAAACTTATTTGTTACAAGTAAGGAGACAGGGAGAAAGCTCTGTCTCCCCCCGAGGTTCGTACAGGGAGCTTTGACTCAGTGCATTAGGGGTGGGTGCGGGGTGCGGGGGTGGGGGGCCGGGGGGTTACAGAGGCACTTCTGGTTCAGTTGGTCATGGCTCGCACATCGACATGCTAGGGCCAACACCGTATGTTCAAAACACGGCAGAAAACTCCACCCTTAGGAAGAGATCCCAGTGTTATAATGAGCTAAAGACGACTTCGGGACAACTCCGGGCTCCTCCAGGCCTCTTCCAATGGGCTCACGCGAGGGGCTCTCGGGCCAAACGCCTGCTCGGCTGTTCCCTGGGCTGGAACCGTTCGTTCTGCAAAACAAAACACATTTCTCCCCAGCTCTTGTCCCTTCCCCTTCTCCCTTCTGCTGAGAGGGTGCAGCCCTCTTCTTTGAGTGACTTCCCATGACATCCCAGCCAACGGCCCCAGCAAGTGGCTGGGCTGGAGATGATCTCTGAGCCCCGCTCGGGCTCCTGCCCCGTTTGCTTGACGGCACTGCGTTCTGCTGCCCTGCAGGGAGCCCCGTGAGCCTCTCTCCTGTCTGCCCTGGCTCATTCCAGCTTTCTGCACACCCACAGACGTGAGAGCTATGGGCCCAGCACAGGGTAAATAGTTGCTCATTGAACATGAGCTGCTGATTAGCCTCCCGTGCGAAGAATCACATCGACCGAACTCACAACACTTGAACAGAAATCGAGAGTAAGTGGTCCCGTGGCCAAAGGATTTCTTTCCAGGGGAAGCTCTCTGAGGGTAGTTGAGTGGTAGATGACTCCCACAGCCTTTGCTGTGTCACGGAGAGTCCAGGGTGCGGGAAATCGGAAGACAACATGTTGGCAAGCACAGACTATTAACATCACAATAGAAAACGGGATCTGGGGTTTCTAATCCAGTTTGGACCAAACGTCCCAGGACCATGAAGTGAGGGGCCGGGATCTCCTCAGCTTTGACAGGATGTGTCCAGAAGTTTCTCTGCGGTGACAGTGGTAAAGCTGGGCCGTGGCGAGAGTCCACTGCCCAAGGAAAGGCTTTGCACTCAGGGCACACGACTGTGAGGCAGGAACTCCTCAAGGTTACTTTGGTGACCCCTCCTTAGGATCCCCTCACCCTCCTTCCCCTGTCTTTCCCAGGAAGCGTGCAAAGGCAGCAGTGATTTCCATCCCGAGCTGTGTCCCAGAGGTCTCCCGAGGGCTATAAGCATCTCCCTGCCACACACGGCACCATTTTCCCAGCCCAAACACAAGTACAGACAAACACCGTTAGACAAACTGCTTTAAACTCCTTTCCAATTTACTATCAAACATCGGGGCAAGGGATCACGAAACTGCCTTCTGAAATAACATTTCCCTTTCCCGTCCCTGGGTTTTGCAGGCCTGGTTCTGACGACTCCTGGAGAAAAGACAGGATCGGGGAGCAAAAGCACCAAGTTCTATAGCGAGTTATGGTTCATCGTGTTAATGGCGATGCTGGGCTTGATCCTGCTGGCCATCTTTCTGTCTCTGATACTACAAAGAAAAATCCACAAAGAACCATATATCAGAGAGAGGCCTCCCTTAGTGCCTATTCAGAAGAGAATGTCTCCGCTGAGTGTCTATCCACCGGGGGAAACCCACATGGTAGGTCTCCGATGCCGGGCCCCGTTTCCCTATCACTGGGCTGGAATACTTGCTGTTATGTAGAGGGAAATATTTCCAGAGTCATGGTAACAAGGGACTAGAAGAAAGTTATGTTTGATAAAATACAGGGTCTGAAAAAGGCTAATAGAGACCTTATGGAAGAGACCACCAGAGAGCTTTCTCGTCCCTTCCTCCATGCAAAGACACAGCAAGAAGACAGGAAGACGCCTGTCTGTGAACCAGGAAGCAGGCACCTACCAGACACTCCATCGGCCGCCATCTTGAACTTGGACTTCCCAGCCTCCAGAACTTGAGAAATAATTTCTGTTGTTTATACGCTAGCCAGTCTATGGGATTCTGTTAAAGCAGCGCAAAGGGACAAAGATACTTGGGAAGTTTTTTTTGTTTTTGTTTTTAAGATTTTATTTATTTATTTATTTGACAGAGGTCACAAGTAGGCGGAGAGGCAGGCAGAGAGACAGAAGGGGGAAGCAGACTCCCTGCTGAGCAAGGAGCCAGATGCAGGTCTCCATCCCAGGACCCTGGGATCATGACCTGAGCCATAGGCAGAGGCTTAACCCACTGAGCCACCCAGGCACCCCACCTGGGAGGTTTTTAAAAAAGCCATTGCTTGGGTCTTATCCCAGCAACTCTGATTCCATTGCTTTCAGGTGGGGCCTAGGGATTCGCATTCTTTTGTTAAACTCCAAAAGCTGTTCTCTGGTGCAACCAGGAGTGACTGTTTCTGCTCTAACACTGTACATCAGGGGATGGTGGAGAAGAGCTGCATATCGAAATCACCCAGGGAACTTACAGGTTATTTAACTGTGTAACTTGGGTTGGGGGCTAACAAAAAAAGGGGGATCTAGGGAGAAACTAAATTGCAGGCAGTGCTCAGTTTGTCCCTGGCCTCTGACACCCGGGCCACTGGGGGTGAGTGACTTCTCATAGCTCCCAACCACCCGTTCCCAAGATAGGAGGTCAGGCAAAGGTTTGAGGGTGAGGCCACACGTGTGGTAGTGCAGGTGGATCCTGGCCCAGAGCACTCGACGACAGGGTAAAAGGTGATTGGAACTGAAGTTGCACTCTGGTGTGGGGCTGGGTCTATCTGGAGGAGGAAAGGCTACAAATTCTAATTCCCACCAGGTGCCAGTCCTTTCCAAGCCGTGCATCCAAAGGGCTACATCTGCCTGAGAAATCTCCCTTCACCCAGTTTGCGCAAAGGTTGAGCTCATGGCCAGCCTGTGCAGCTAAAACTCTGATTACCACTTCCACCGTGGGGGGGAGTTCTTCCACAATAAGCAGTTCCGAGAATATTGAATGGCCAACTCAGACCACTGGCCATGTGCTACTATTCAGTGTATGTTCATTAGAAGATTCTCACTAAAGAGCAGATACTTTACAGTTTTCCCTTGCTGAAGAGGAACTCTCTCTGAGGAAGCCATGTTCTTAGATGAAAGAAGCACCACCACTTCTGGAGTTCAGAAATACATGGAAAAGCCCAGAAGACCTGAGATCTCTCTAGCCTGAGGAGACCAGCTAAATCAACCCTGGGCCATAGGGGGCGCATGGAGAACGTGGAAGAGAAACTCTGGAGCTCTGCTGGGTTCCTCTACTCTGTCATGCGAGGTGTGCTTCCAGAAAACTTCCCCACATTCCATTATTGTAACTCCTTTCAGAGATCAAATCTCCTGTTTCTTGACCCAAACCCTACAGGCCGGCACTTCTTCCTCATTACCCTTCCCGGGGAGGAATCCAGTTTTGTCCACTTGGCTAACTGAGGGATCAAGAAGCAACCACATCATTTCAGCGGGAAGTTACTCTGGATGATGCCATTGCTCACGGTTCTCATGAGTCTTGTCAAGCTTTGTTTCATCAAAGCGTGGCCTGTGAACTGTCAGTGTCAGCATCACATAGGAACAGGACCTCTGAGAAAGAAACCAAAGGATCTGCTACTTCAACCAGCACCCTGGAAGTCAGATGCTCAGTAAAGCCTGAGAATAGCCATAAATAAGCTAAAAATAAAATACACAGAATACAATTCCTGTAAGGGGTGTGTATAGTCTTGTAACCAATGGAAACAGGTTGGGGGGATTCCATGATTCCACTTATATGAGGGATCTAAAATAGCCAGATTCATGGAAGCAAAATATGGTGGTTGCCAAGGTGGGGAGAGGGAAATGGGGAATTGCTTATTAGCAGGTTTTATAAAGGTTCAGTTCTGCAAGATGACGACATCCTAGAGATCTGCTGTATGGCATTGTCCCTATAGATAACGATACTATATTGCCAGTCTGCTAAGAGAGTAGATCTAATGTTAACTGTATTTATCGTGAAAAAATTTAAAAACATGGAAAAACAAAACAAAACAGGTGGGGGCTGCTGATTAGCGCTTTTAGTCCCTGCAAAACAAGGCCAAGCTGCCTCTGGGACTAGACTTGGACTTCAACTGGGATGAGCAGACCAAAGAATTGAGACACCCTCTTCCCATATATTCCTCGCCACTGGGGAGAAGCAGAGTGGCTCCCAATGGGTTAAATTTTGCTCAGTGGCCAAGGGAGGTGTGAGGAGGGAAAGGGCTGGTGGGGACTGGCAGGCCACCAGCAGCTCCGGGTCCCCACACTCGCTCATCTTCAATATTGAGAGTGTCAGTCACAGGTCCTGGAGGGTTAGCAGGAGTGAAATCTGGAGTGTCCCAGGACCCTGGGCAATATTCCGGAACCCACTGAAATATCCTAAATTAATCCTACCCAGGTAATAACATGCACTTGCAAACCTTCTTCGGATGCTTTAAAAAAAAATGTTGAAAGTAAACCGTTCTCACAAAGTTGGAAGAATATTAGTGAAAGTCAAACAAAGGAGAGTAGAATTTGCATTAGTACAGCAAAATAAAGAGCCATCGTTGGTGTCCCTGAGCTCCAGAAACAATGGCTAAGATTCTGAACGGGACCAGGTGGGATTCCCCTGCTCAGTGTTTCAGACTGACGTTCTTTTCACTTGGGGAGGTGGGTGAGAGCTATCCCTGCAACACACACACACACACACACACACACACACTCAAACCCCTGAGATGCCTCTCAGAATGATTATGTGATTATGCTATCATTGGAGAAACAAAGAATTTGTTTTACGGTCATTTTGTTTGTTCCAGACACTAACTGATGCCTCCCCATTTGTTCTCAGTTTGACTCTGTGGCCGATATATCTGATGTGTCAAGCAATGTGACCCTAAAAAGTTACACCATGCACTTTGAGGTACCTCCGTGTGCTGCATGAACGCATGATCTTCTGCGTGATGTGTTGACTGCACAATGGAAAGCAGGAACATTTCACTGATTGGACGAGCTAAATCAAACCTCAGACGTTTACAGTAGCTCGGTTCTCTTAGAACATTTTCTAGGTTCTGACCATGTAGTGCCTTTGTCTTTCTGATGTTAATACCAGACCTGGTTTATTTTGAAGGCTGAATCTTACAACAAATAGAACAATATGAATGAGAACAGAGGGTGCGAAGAGTCCATTTCCCTACACAAATCCAGGAATTTTGAAATATAACACAACCGTGCTCACTTGGCAACCAGGAGAGACCATTTTTTTTTAACTTTTTAATAATTTTTTAAAAAGATTTTATTTATTTGACAGAGAGAGAGAGATCACAAGTAGGCAGAGAGGCAGGGGGAAGCAGGTACCCCGCTGAGCAGAGAGCCCAACGTGGGGCTCGATCCCAGGACCCTGAGATCATGACCCGAGCCGAAGGCAGTGGCTTAACCCAGGTGCCCCTTTTATTTTTTAATAAACGTATAATGCATTATTAGCCCCAGGGGTACAGGAGAGACCATTATTAACGTTGCTCTGGGAAAGCATTGATCTCAAGACACAGGCTCTGTGGTGACACGTCTCATGGAGGGATTACTTTGTACACCCAACCTCTATCTCCTTCACCCACAACTTTGCAAAGCAGAAGCTCTTATCTATAGGGAACAACAGCCAGAGCACTAGGGCATGAACTCTCCAGGTGCTAAGAACACTGGATGTCTAACATGACTATTGCTTCATCATCTCACCCTTACCAAGAAACCAGGGGCCACAGTATTCCAGATAACCTAAATTCTGCAGTAGGATATGGTGTGTTCCTTCACTGACAATGTGTGACACACAATTTTCTGTCGTATTTCAAGCCCATTTTCTTGAGACTCCAATTACCAACAGCGACTTTCTTTTCAGGGGTTAGCTAACACCAGAATCCCCCGGTCTGGGACACCCATCAGCATTAGGAGCAACCGGAGCATATCTGTCCTCCGGATCCCAAGTCAGAGCCGAAGAAGCCGTACCTATTCCCAAGGCTCCCTCCACCGCAGCGTCAGCCAGCTCACGGACATTCAAGACAAGAAGGTCTTGATTGATGACTCACTGTGGGAGACCATCATGGGCCACGACAGTGGACTGGTGAGTTGATTTCCTTATCCAGAGCCTTTTTTTTTTTTTAAGATTTTATTTATTTGTCAGAGAGAGAGAGTAAGTGAGCACACAAGCAGGGGGAGCAGCAGACAAAGCAGATGGAGGGAGAAACAGGCTCCCTGCTGATCAAGGAGCTTGATGTGGGACTGGATCCCACGATGCTGAGATCATGACCTGAGCCGAAGGCACATGCCCAAGTGACCGACCTATCCAGGCATCCCAAGAGCCTTTGTTTTTTTAAAGATGTATTTATTTATTTGAGAGGGGGCAGGGAGAGAGCATTTATGAGTGGGGGGACGGGCAGAGAGAGAGACTATCCAGCAGACGCCCCACGGAGCGCAGAACCCAGTGTGGGGCTTAGTCTCATGACACTGAGGCCAGGACCTGAGCGGAAAACAAGAGTCTTACGCCTCACCGACTGAGCCACCCGGGACCCTCCTTATCCAGAGCCTTTGATCCGCCACCCAAAAGGTATCGGTAAAGAGATGGCCTGGAGCTTTCTGTCCCTCACAGACTGTTGCCTCCCAGCACTCTGCAAGGGAAGAGACAGGCGGACGGTGACTGGGAACACTGGAATTGGTCTAAAAGGAAAAAAAAAAAAAAAAGCAAAAGAAGTGCATCACCTTCTTCCTTCTGGTTTGCGGTTAGAGGAGAAAGAGCAGTTCTGGGGCACCTGGGTGGCTCAGTGGGTTAAGCCTCTGCCTTCGGCTCAGGTCATGATCTTGGGGTCCTACGATCAAGCCCAGCATTGGACTCTCTGCTCAGCAGGGAGCCTGATCCCCGCCCTCTCTCTGCCTGCCTCTCTGCCTACTTGTGATCTCTCTGTCAAATAAATAAATAAAATCTTAAAAAAAAAAAAAGAAAAAGAAAAGAAAGAGCAGTTCTTTTGATAGGCTCAATGGCTCTTTTCCAAGAAACTCAGAATGTCATGATAAATAAGACATTGCTGTGTATGAACTTCAGCCTTCATGATTTCAGTCCAGTGGATACAAATAATCGACCCTTTGAAAGTTAACCCCATTATTATCTAATATTTGTTTAAGTCCCTAGTGGCTGAAATAGATAAAATCCTAGAGTTTTTACCAACCATCGAACTTCTGGCCTGTACCTTCTGTCCAAGTACCTGGACTTCTTTTTTTTTTTTTTTTTTAGATTTTGTTTATTTATTTGACAGAGATCACAAGCAGGCAGAGAAGCAGGCAGAGAGAGGGGAAGGGAAGCAGGCTCCTCGCTGAGCAGAGAGCCCGATGTGGGGCTCGATCCCAGGACCCTGGGATCATGACCTGAGCCGAAGGCAGAGGCTTTAACCCATTGAGCCACCCAGGCGCCCCAGTACCTGGAGCACCCATTCCTTTGGGGCGGTGAGCCGGTAGAGCAGCCCAGTAAGACCGCAGCTCCTCCGCATGCTTCTCAGAGGCAGAACTCCTCACCTCCGTGTCTTTCAAGCATCTGCTTCTGCTTCTGGACCCTTGCACTCCTCGGTTCTCATTTTTCCTTCACTGAAAGGTCGAGGTCTTCCACGAAGACTTTCTTAACTAACCGCAAGGAATACAGCAGATTTCCTGGCTCCAGGTTCCAGTCATAGGGAAAAATAGAATAAAATGCGCCGTTCTCTTTGGCTGGCTCAGGATGATGTTTTACGATATGCATTTTGAAGTTATGGGCCTGCTTGACGTTGTGATGGCTCTTGAATTCCGGGATTCCATTCTAGATGTGAAGTTTCTAAATGGAGGAATAATTACATTAGGTTGAAACATAAGGGATTGTTAATTGATCACACTTGACATGCAAAATGGCGAGTTTATGGGAGACAACATGACAACATAATTGAGGGCTTAGATGCCTATGTGTCCCCACCCAAGGATACACAGTAATTTGTCAATGGAATTGGTATCTTGAAACCATCCTTTGATTACAGAGCCCTCAGTCCTCACTGTGACACTCTAGTGACAGTTTTGCTTGCTTTTGACAGTAGCAGCAATAGGCAATGTGCAAGGCAACTTGGAGAAAGCTTTGGAAGTTGCCAATACTTGAAAAATCATCTGTTCATTATAACGTTATAAACACTCTTACTAGCCCTCTTCAATAAATACAAAATAGAGTAAGAGAGTGGGAAGCAATGGAGCAAAATAGCATGCATTCTGTCTCTTCTGCTTGCATTTTGAACTAAATCTTAGGTTTATATTGCATATATATCTATCTATATCTCTATATATTATATATATAGATATAATATATATGTATATAAAAACACACGAATAAAAATATAAAATAAACATGAAAAATATAATCTCCCCACTTTACAGATAAGAAAACTGAGGTTTAGAAAGGTTGAGGTATGGCGCACCATAACACTCAAATCACATTTTGGATTAGTCCACAGTTCATGTGTACATGGGATGTGATCCTTTCTTTAAGGTAAACTTAAGGGAAGGGCAGTCACAAACCACGCCTTAGAGTTTTGAGTGTAGGATGTTAGCCTTTAACAGAATATTTACAGAGTACTTTCTATATTAAATTGATAGAACTATCAACCGATGGCCAATACTATTAACAGTGACTGTCCTAATCAATGGCGATTGGCTTATTTTCTAGTATGTGGATGAAGAGGACCTGATGAATGCCATCAAAGGCTTCAGCTCTGTGACTAAGGAGCACACCACGTTCACTGACACCCACCTGTGAAGGATGGAAACTTGCATCACAGAAACCTGAAATGCCTGCCCCACGCCCCATCCCCACGGGGGTGTCACGGACTGACACATCATATATGCTAAAAAGCCATTGCTGCTTCTTATTCTCTTAAACTTAAAAAAAAACAAAAACAAAACAAGAATTGTTTTTGAAATTGTTCCTCCTTAATAGAGGTCTGTTTTTCTGGTGGTCTGAAATAAGGGGTACTGTCAGTATGAAAATACTTACTTTGCTCTTACTTTGTGGAAGCTTAAATAAGCATGTAATTTTCACTTGGCTCCAACAGTGGCTCCATTGGTTAAATGAATAATTAGTGACAATTTCAAATTGTCCCACAGTTGTAACAAGTAAGTGAAGTTACTAGTTTAAAAACAAAGCAGGTTTTCTGAGAGGATGTCACTACTGCTCCTTTCAGTCCCTTTTCTCCATTCAATCCTGTAAGAACACGATCCTGGAAGAATAATTCTAATGATCATAGCTACAAAGTAAAATTCGAGCCTCAGGCCAAGCTCAATCGGTTACAGAATGGCACTGAGGGATACACACTGGACTGACAGTCCAATTTAATGACAATGTTTAGGGATAAGTATTTACCAAACTTAATGGAAAAAAAAGTTTTCACCAACCTTTTGACAGAGCACCACATCAACTTGTAAACCTCCATCCTTGTATTTATGAATCTTCTGAAAAGGACTAAAGAGCTATTTCCCACATATTTTACATGGTTTTGAAACTATAGAACTTTCCATAAAACTGTCAATACACTGATTACCCGGGAATACTGACATCTTTAACTTAGCACCTTTCACTTGGTTAAATATTTGCATTATTTAATTAGCCTATGTAGAATTTTAAAAAGGCACATTTTATGCTCCTTCCAGCTTTGAAATTGTTTAAATTAACACACATAAACACAAGATGATACATAAGCATATAAATCCTACGTATAGCTACGTGTCTATTACTCTGTGCTATACCCTTCATTTCAGGGACCTCACTGTTTTTAGCCCTAGAGTCACTAAGAGCGGGTGATTTTCCACGGTTCCAATTTCCATGGGTCACAAGTTCTGTTGTCTGCTCTATTTGGATTAGTCATTGCTGAAAAGTCCTACAGTAAGACATTTTTTCCCCAAGTTATCAACATAAAATTAAAGGTATTCAAGTTTGTTCTTCATGGAAAACAATGTTAAAAAAAAAAAAAAAAAGTCTTCCTTATTCTTAAAGGTCTACTTAAGGATCCCAGGAAACTATTTTGAATCTCTAGGTCTCATACACAATTTTCTGACAGCATTTTGTGAGTTAATCGAGGGGTAGGTGGATTTTCCCTAAGCTGAACTAGCAAAAATCTGTAAAATAAGGGATAACCTTATTCCGGCTCAAAACAAGCCAGACTCTGGATTCTGGGGTACTGGGGCTTTCGCCACATCTGTGGAGGAACAGCTCGTCAGACTGACCAACTCCCAACAAGCCTTGCCAACTCTAAGTGTCAAAAGCACAGACCAGTATTAAAACCAAGTTCTGCCTCCTCATCAGAACTACGTTAAGCAAACAAATCTGAAATAATTGTGCGCCCTTGGCAATGGATGTACAAATTATAAAATTCTTTTCTTGCCAAGTTTTATACTTTCTAAAATGGAAACACAGGATTGGCTAATTTAGTTAACTGGTTTTAATACCATTTGTTGATTCTGGGTCAAGTATCACAAATGAGTCTTAACCAAGGCTAAGTTTCTGAATCACAGGAGCTACTTAAGGCATATAGTGGAAAAGTGCTTTTTTCCAGTCGTAAGCTTGCATCTTTATCCTTGGTCTACTCTTCTGCAAATATGATTTGCTGGTTACAGGTGGATTTAGGAGATTGAGGTCTTCCTCATTTTTGAAAAATTAACTAAATACCTTTATCACAATTTAAAACTTTATTAAAATGGTTTCCTCACATTGCTACTTTTTTTTTTTTTTTAATTCATGAAAAATAGAAAGAGGCAGAGAGAGAAGCAGGCTCCCCACAGAGCAGGGAACCCGATGTGGTTCTCGATCCCAGGACCCTGAAATCATGACCTGAGCTGAAGGCAGACGCTTAACCGACTGAGCCACCTGGATGCCACCATCACAGCGTAGAACCTAAAGAACACAGAGAACTGCAGGGGATTTTATATTAAATCATTCTCCATTGAACCTAATTAGACATTTACTTATTACATGAATTAGTTTCGCTGCATCGTTTACATTTTGATCCCATAGCTGGACGAAAGCCTGTATGGCTCCCACCGAGAACATTGCCCCCTGCAACACTCTGAACCTGACTTTCACCTTTCTGAGAAGCCCAAGATTTTGTTCATTGCGTTGGTATTGTGTCCCCAGCCTCAGTAACGTGTAGACTCATCCCTAGGGATTGATTCAGTTGTCTGCCATGGGGCTGAGGCATCAGAGCTTTCCTTGATTTTTATTTATTTATTTGACACAGAGAGATCACAAGTAGGCAGAGAGGCAGGCAAAGAGAGAGGAAGGGAAGCAGGCTCCCTGCTGAGCAGAGAGCCCGATACAGGGCTGGATCCCAGGACCCTGAGATCATGACCTGAGAGAAGGCAGAGGCTTAACCCACTGAGCCACCCAGGTGCCCACTGAGCTTTTCAAAGTCTACAGGAGATCCCGGGTTTCTGGTTCGAGAGCCAGTAGCAAAGGTGGAGAGCAACCCAGAGGCACTCAGGGGCTGAGCTGCTAGCTGTGCTCAGGGACTGTGCCCCTGGGATACACCACAAATCCCTTTCAATTGGTTCTAAATCTCCCGACACAGGTCTGACCACTCCCAGAGACCACCTTCCCGGCTTCAGAACTACTGTTACTCCTAATATTAGCAGTTTGATAAGAGTGTGTAGCCATGTTTTTATAATCTCTATTAAAAATTTTATTTATAGATGAGATGTTGTTGTTTCCACTAAAGGGAAAACCTAAATACTAATCTGTCCGTGTACCTGATGCTGATCTTAAAGTCATTGCTGTCATCAATAGAATTCAGCTCGAACAACCTGTAAATAAAACATAGGCCAGATGGAGTGATTCAGGGATAAGGAACTTAATTATGTCACATCTGAGTAGTTTTATTTCCAACACACAAATATCATGTAAATTCATCTCAAGATGGCTTGCTTAATTTTTCAATGTAAACAAGGTTTATGAAAACACACTAACAGCTCTGAGTTATAATTTACACATAAATGATGATAAGGGTGAGCCCATTTAATAGGATGTTCTGATCTGAGCCATCAGTGCCCGTTAGAATCAACCGTGTGGCTTTTTTCAAAGCGTGGGCCCCACCCACCAGATTTGAACTTGGCAGGTCTGGAGGCCCCACCGAGCGTCCGTGCCTAACCTGAGGTGAAGGCCATGTATCAGCCTTGATGAGAAAGCCAGGAACAAGACCACAGGCTCCCGAAACAGGCAGACGTGGGTTCAAAAGTTGGCTTGGTAGCTGACAAGACTTGTGGCTAAGTAATTTCTCCTCATGATCGCCTCTATAAACTGAGGGGAGCAGTACCTCTGCCGACCGCCCTGAAATAATTAGTGGAAACACTCTCCTCACTGTGACAATTCTAATTCTGTTCCTATTGTTCATCAAGCACGAAGTATATAGATTGAGCTCAAGTTTTTTTCAGTGACAGGAACACCTCCTGAGGTAGGCCGAAGGACAATGCGGAGGCCCAGAAGGGATCATCTGCTCCAGGCGACAAAGCGCCAGGCAGGCTCCAACCCCCAGGCAGGCTCCAACCCCCGTCACGGCATCAAGGTTCAAACTCTCCTAAGTGAGAGAAACAAAAAGATCTGCCTCGTGGTAGACTGCAACCTGTGCTATAGCGAGTTGCTTCTTCATGGGCTTTTGCCATGTAATAGTCTCCAGCTCCTCCCTACCCCATGGCCTCACTCTTGGAGAAGGCTGCTTAAATGCAAACTTTTTCACTCATTTTCTTACTCGCCCACCCACCTTTTACCTGACTGTGGGAAGGGGAAAGGCGGCTACGGAGATGATGGCAAATCCTTAGCAATGTGGCAATGATGTTGGGCCCGACCCTCACCCTCAACGACCCTCACCCTCGGCCCTCCCCGCTTCATACCGCCGGAAGCAGACCCCAGCCAACCTTATAGGTGTACTTCAAACAGCATAACTACTCCTTAAATAACCGAGAACACATCTTCTTAATCAATTTTATTAGACTTCATTGATAAATAAATACAAGTGTTGTGAAACCACTAGCAATATAGTAAACTTTAAAGAATTTATTTCAATTTCACTCATATTTCTTGACGGGGAATATATACATTATTCACCAATAAATGCTTAATGCTTTAAATTTACAATTGCCCTATGTGCAGAAACTTGAAAAGTATTCCAAACGAAAAAAAAGTACAAAAAATTTGTCTCATAATTCAAAATATATTTTAAAACAATTATTTGTATAGCAGCCAAAACCTTTAACCAAAAGTTGAGAACTGCCGTCTTAGAAGCTTAACAAAATGGCGACATTCTGACTTAATTATTTTCATTATTGACAGTGGGGGGAAACACGTGGCCTCTAAATCAGACAAGGCAGACGGAAGACTAGGATGGTTTCCCTTCTGGGCACGCAAAGCTCTAGCCTTGATTATTATTTTTTATTTCATCTGTTTCAAACACAGACAACTGCTCCAACTTTAAAGAAAGTTTAAATGGACTTTGGGTATTTAATATTGGTGACACCTGCTAAGATTTAAGAACTCCAAATAATGAGAATCAGAGAATGACCCACGATTTAAGAAAAACATCCGAAGGGACTGCCTACTACATAGTGTAATCTGGTGGTCAACATTAATAGTGTTTCTGAATTAGGTAATTTTTCACAAACATAGCACCTCATTAAATATCTGGTAAACACGTGGCAATCACAAGAAGTGTTGGGAGACTATCCAGAGAGATTTAATGTGATTCACTTCACAGGACGATGCGAGACAAATCTCAAGCACGATGAGATCAGGAGCGCCATCTGCTGGTCCCTGCGCCCTCAGGGATGCCCAAGTGCAGG